CCTCACTCTCTCCAGGAGAGGGAGAATGAGACGCAATGGTGGAAAGGTGTAGAGCAGCTTCCTTGGCCATGACTCGTGTGCAAACGCGTCCACCCCCAAAGGCGGGTCGTCGCTCAGGGCCATGGAAAACCACAGGGCACAGTGGCCGTTGCGCCGGCTGGCAAACAGATCCACTTCCGCTCTCCCGAACTGGGCCCAGATCTGCTTCACCACCTCTGGGTGAAGCACCCACTCGCCTGGCAGGGGGCCGCCCCTCAACATGAGGTCGGCTCCCCTGTCCTCCAGTCCCGGGATATGGAGGGCTCTCAGAGATAACACCACCTCTGATGCCCACAACCACAGCCTCTCCGCTGTGGCCAACAAGGCGGCGGAGCGGACTCCGCCCTGCCTGTTGATATAAGCATCTGTGGTGCTGTTTTCGCTCCTGACCAATACATGTCTCCCTTGAATTAGGGGCATGAAATGCTGGAGGACTAACACTACCGCCCGTAGCTCTAGGAGGTTGCTGTGTCGTGTTTCCGTTAGAGACCAGCGCCCACCTATAGCCCTCTTCAGGCAGGTCCCTCCCCATCCTGTTCCCGTGAACACTGTGATGTAGGAGGTTACCCGTCCCAGTGGAGACCCCCTCCGGAGGCGCCCGGGAGACCCCCAGAACCGGGGGTTGCCCTCCACTGGGGGGGGGATGGTCACCAGCCGCTGTTTGTGCCTCTTGGGATCCAAACGCAGGCTGGAGAACCACCTCTGCAGGCGGCGCATATGCAGTAACCCCTGCGGGACCACAATGTGAGCTGCCGTCATGTGACTCAAAGTCTGCATGACAGTTAAAGCTGTCACTGTTGCCCCCTGTCGCAGCCTGTGAACCGCCCGGAGAAGGGACGCACTTCTGCTCCCTGACAGGGTGGCGCGTAGCGCGCCTGCATCGAACACCACTCCCAACTACAACGCCTGTTGGTGAGGTATGGGGGTGCTCTTTTTTCAATTGATCGCAAAGCCTAATCGGTTAGGTGTGTGATCAATTGTGCTGTGCAAAGCATTGACTGTTCCCTGGACCCGGCCATGACTATGAGGTCGTCTGGGTAAAAGAAAAACTCTCATGCCGTGGGCGCGCAGCGGTTAAAGCGCAGTGGCCACACATTTACTGAACGTGCGTGGGGATAGGGAGTAGCCGAACGGTACTCTGTTGTACTCGTAGGCTATCCCCTGGAAGGCAAAACGCAGACACTTTCTGTGCTCCGGAGCAATTTCCACATGAAAGTATGCGTCTTTCAGGTCGATGGTGGTCAACCAATCGCCCGGTTTGCACAAGCCCCATTAACTGTTTTTATAGTTAACATGCAGCATTTTCTGCAGGCAATGTAGCGATTCGGGCTGCTGAGATCTGGAATAGATCTGAATTCCCCTGTCTTCCTGAGAACCATGAAAGTACATGGAATAAAGACCATTTTCTCTGTGCTGAGGGTGCACAACAGACACAGCCTGTTTCTGCACCAGAGCCTGAATCTCTGCTGAGAGGAAACCAATCTCCTCCTGGGAAGACAGATTTCCTCTCGCATGCCCATAAAAGGAGGATGCTGCAAAACTGGAGTGAATAGCCCGTTTCAGCGTCCTGTCCATCCACTTTGTTAGTACACAGCTGAGTTTCAATTCCCCATAACATTGTGTTAATGGAAAGCCCTTAGCTGTGGGGCCACAGCTACTGTGGTACTCTCTGGTGACCCGTTCCGCCGCAAAACTCCCCGTGAAGGGAAGATTTGCCCATGGAGGGTCGACACAGAAAGGGCCGATTATTTACTGAGGTCCCTGAACGCACCGCCGCACGCTCAACCATAATGCTGTTTTTACCACTACGGTAAACAGCATTTAATCGGAGTCTTTATAGGCGTAGTGTGTTCTACTGAGGTCCCTGAACGCACCGCCACGCGCTCTTGTGTGAGAGCGGGCTCCGCCATAATGCAGCAGTGACGTGCGGTGAGGTTCATGGCTGGTGAGGCACTGACTCTTTCAGCGTCAGATTTACAAATATTATATTTTGACCTTAATCGAAATGTTCGGTTATTTTCAAAAGCTTTTTTAGTCTGATGCTTTGATTCATTTTAAACAGACTGTTCAACAAAAGGATACCCAAAATCTAAATATTGGATTGTTCTTTCTTAGTAAGATCCCATGTTCATTACAATTGTGGTCTTACCTTGACTTGAAGATGAAGTCCATGCTATCATTCTGGACAACAATCTCCATTACATTTTTGTAAAAGTCCTCCTTATCTTCCTCTAGTTTCAAAAGTCTAGCTTGTTGTTTCCCTCTGCGTAGAATAACAGTAGCAACAAGAACCTGTGGGCTCACTTGCGCCCCCTTCAGTGCGGCAGAGGTTATGGCTGCCTCCCCTGGTGCTTTTTTCATTGCCGTTGTCCGATGAGACCAGCGGGCCTAAATATAATATATATGTGAAATAAGTTATTTAGAGACTATGGATAGCGAGGATAAATGTAATAAAGGGATCTACAAACATTACATTGGTGACCTACAGTGAGATGGTGCAGGCATGCGCTTAGGGCCAGCTTTCCAGCCAGTTTCTGTGGGGTGACGCATTCTGAGGTGAGGCAGAGCTCATCTGTGCCTCACCTCACCACACAGTAACTGGCTTGAGCGCGCTCACAAAATAAGTGCTCGCGCTACATTAGTGCCCGCGCTCCAGCCAGTTACTGTGGGCTTACGTGAGGCAGAGCTCGTCCCTGCCTCACTCCTCATCGCTCCCATGTAGGAGTTGTAGCGGAGCTCGGCCAATATGCTGATTTTGACTATAAAAAGCGATTGGAATCATACATAAATCACACTTACAACACAGATCAGTGGAGACATGTTATTATTATTATTACTATTTAGTTTTTCTTTAGTTGTTTTTCCGTTACATTGGAGTATGACAGGTGAGGCTCTGCCTCCCCTGACTGCACGTCGCTGTAATGCAGCCTTTACCACTATGGAACACTGCATTAATTGGAGTCTTTGCTCTAGGCGTAGTGTGTTCTCTGACAGCAATACGCCGGCCATAATGTCCCTGCACCCGCATAGCGCTCTCCTTTAGATAGCACTCCCTGCGGTTCATCCCTCTCATCTGCGCATGCCCACTAGCCACCTCCTTTACAGGAGCTACAGCTGGGGCAGCAAATGGGGAATTTGTAGTTAACATTGTGTGTAAGTGTAGCATTTGTGGAAAAGACACTCAGATTTGGATACTGTTAGAAATTAAAATCAATGTTTTGATGGCATAATGTACCTTAAATGTACCTTTAGTTTAAATGCTGTTTTATACTGAAAAACCAGAAGTTCTTGTGCACAACCAGTTAGACTTTTATTCTGAAAATCCTTCACCTCCGGTTAGCATTTAGCATGAGGCTAATATACCATTTCCTATAGAGGTGAATTTAGCAGCGATATGATGTTGCACACCGAAACCTACTGATTTCAACACTACAGCTATAGACGTCGAGATATTATTATTGTTGGATATTAAATGAAGGTACAGTTTATTTGAGTACGTTATCGTTTACAGATGTGGGTAGCATGTCACAACATTCGGAACGACCGGAAATCAAATTGCTGTGAAGGATTTCCTGTATTTTTTGGAGTATTGATTACAGCGTTTAGAATGTGTTAAATGAAAAGTCATGAAAGAGTTAAGGAGGAGAAAAGGCGTGTTTAGATATATATTGAATGTACAATGTCTGTATCCTGTGATATGCGTAACAACGGACATTAAATACGCGGAGAGCCGGCCCCCAGGGAGGAGCCAGGAGAGGCTATATAAACAACGAAACCTGAGGGGTTCGGCCTCTTTTTTCCCTCTGCTAGCGAGAGCCAGAGACAGCTGCTTTTCTGTCGGAAAATATCCTGTTTGTGACTTTACCACGCTTTTTATTCATTAAAGTACCAATTTGAAAACATCTCAGAGACTCCATTTAGTCTCCTTTTTAAGCTTCTCTTTCCTGGACACGAGAATAACCATCACAGTTAACAATACAGATCAACCTCATTCTTGTTTGAAAACGTAGTGATCTGTGCATTATACAGGGAGGAGGCGAGATTCATCCTCTCGTCCCGGGCGGAGAGATGTTCTCCCTCCGCCAGGCCAGTCAGATCCGTGAAGACGGGCAGCCCGTCCCCGTGAGTGCCGGTGTTGTGTCACATTATGCCTCCCCGTCATGAAATGCCCCCCTTGTCACGGGAACGCGCATTTCTAAATGACACGTTTACACCTCTAAATGACACGTTTACACCTCTAAATGACACGTTTACACCTCTAAATGACACGTTTACACCTTAAAACGATGTTTAAAACGAAAAGTAAACGTTCAGGGTTTGTATTAATGGTAATTTTCAGACTGAGTTGTTTAGTGGTAGCTCATAGTCTTGATTCTTCTGGTTTAACTTTTCGCTCCGTATTTGAGGTGTCGAAATTCATTTGTCACTTCCGTTTCAGTTTTGTTTTTTTTAATCATTATTGTTACGTCCTGTCTGTATAAACGTGCTTTAAAATGTATTGTTTAATTTGACATAGTTGTCATCAAATAATCAATATATGTTTACAAATGTTACATAGTCTTTATCAGCATATTATTATATATACGCTCTGCGTACAAAATAAAAGTGTCACATTCAAGAAACCTGCTCCATTTATTGGTACCAGTCCTAGAATACACTGAAAAATACTTGAGGGTGGGATGAATAGAAACCTCTTTTGTTGGGGGGGGGGGGGGCATTTTATGACAGGCCTGGCCATCACAATATGCCCCCCCTTGCTATTTTACAAAATAAAAGTGTCACATTCATGAAACTTGCTCCATTTATTGGTACCAGTCCTAGAACCATACCCTGAAAAATGCTTGACGGTGGGATTCATAGAAACATCTTTTGGGGTGGGGGCAATTTATGACAGGCCAAACAATAGTTGCATTGGTTGAAATGACAGTGGACAGTTAATGATGGTGCCTTCGGGGCATTACGTGCATCCAGGGCACAAGTACGGTTGATCCACTGGAGGCCTTTGTACACATTGGTGGTGGTACCACTGCTGACAAATGTCACAGCAAATCTGAGAAAACAATAAATACTTGTTATGTAAGGTATGCATTATGGGATTTTTTTATGATAATAGAATATCTCTAATGTATTTCCCACTAACATTCTAACCATTCCTTCAATTATCGAAATCTTTCAAAAACATAAATGTTGTGTTATGAGAAAGAAATACATTTTCAACAAAAATGTATGGAAAAACAAGCAAAACATTAATCCTTTATCAGTTAATGCTGAAGATGCCAAATATAGTAGCAATTACCAATGCAAATGTTATGTTGATAAAGTCCGGAAACATATTTCTGCTAATTTTCTTTATTTGTAATGTGCAATAGGAAATTACCCAATGTTCTTCATCCTGCTCCTCCATCCCGCAGTAAAAGCAAAGCCTGCTTAGATCATCTGTTGAGACAAAAAGTAATCAATATCTTCAGATAAACCACATTGCAGAATTGAAAGGGTGTGTTAGAGTGTGACGTGTGTAGCCTATATGAAATTGCAGTTCAAGATGCCTGCCTGCGATGCTTCATATCATCTGTTTGGAGTTGAGATACACAATATACTGTATGTAGTGACTATTTACCCTAATCTATACTTAAGCCACTGTGTTGCTTTTAAAACCCTGATAATGTCCCTGGTCAATATTAACCCAACAGTACCAATGGTCCAAGCAGTGATACAATACAACAATTTGCATGGCACATTATTAATATACTAGGTTATTCATGCATACTTATGAGATACAATTAATAAAAGTAACTACATGAAGTCATTGACAATGTTGAGAAAAGGTAACACACCAGATTCTCTGAGGAGATAAGTAGCAATGTCCAGCCTCAGCTCGTGCACTGCCTTCTGTGAGGTTTCAAACTCAATTGCCTCCCCCAGTAAAATCTTCTCTGCAAACTGAAGAGAACTATGATTAGTATATGGACTGCATGGTCTATGATTTTACCCTCAAATGGAATACAGACAAATGACCCAACAGATTTAAAGAATGACATGTTGTATATGTGTAGTTTGACACAATTCAATACATCTTTGATCAAGATGTATAAAAGCAAGTCAAGATATTCAGTCTAATTGCTACTGAATTTGAGTTTGAGAGTAATGTTGGGTAAATGCATTTCACACTCACTTTTAAGGCCAGGACACCACAGGATGTGCTGTCTTGTTGGCGATTATGGGGGAGGGTGCTGCATGTCCACCTTGACACCTTGCAGCCTTTCATCCTCATAAAGGCTCTACCGTATGTAGATAGTACATGTGTCAAGATGCAGCACATCATTGTCAAAAAACTCATACAACACCGGAACTAGTACACTGTATCAAATGTACCTTGTAGACTGGGCACACCCTCATTTTGACTTTCCCTTCTCCAAGTGGATCCAAGAAGAGGGATTTTACTGGGGGAGGCAATTGAGTTTGAAACCTCACAGAAGGCAGTGCACGAGCTGAGGCTGGACATTGCTACTTATCTCCTCAGAGAATCTGGTGTGTTACCTTTTCTCAACATTGTCAATGACTTCATGTAGTTACTTTTATTAATTGTATCTCATAAGTATGCATGAATAACCTAGTATATTAATAATGTGCCATGCAAATTGTTGTATTGTATCACTGCTTGGACCATTGGTACTGTTGGGTTAATATTGACCAGGGACATTATCAGGGTTTTAAAAGCAACACAGTGGCTTAAGTATAGATTAGGGTAAATAGTCACTACATACAGTATATTGTGTATCTCAACTCCAAACAGATGATATGAAGCATCGCAGGCAGGCATCTTGAACTGCAATTTCATATAGGCTACACACGTCACACTCTAACACACCCTTTCAATTCTGCAATGTGGTTTATCTGAAGATATTGATTACTTTTTGTCTCAACAGATGATCTAAGCAGGCTTTGCTTTTACTGCGGGATGGAGGAGCAGGATGAAGAACATTGGGTAATTTCCTATTGCACATTACAAATAAAGAAAATTAGCAGAAATATGTTTCCAGACTTTATCAACATAACATTTGTATTGGTAATTGCTACTATATTTGGCATCTTCAGCATTAACTGATAAAGGATTAATGTTTTGCTTGTTTTTCCATACATTTTTGTTGAAAATGTATTTCTTTCTCATAACACAACATTTATGTTTTTGAAAGATTTTGATTATTGAAGGAATGGTTAGAATGTTAGTGGGAAATACATTAGAGATATTCTATTATCATAAAAAAATCCCATAATGCATACCTTACATAACAAGTATTTATTGTTTTCTCAGATTTGCTGTGACATTTGTCAGCAGTGGTACCACCACCAATGTGTACAAAGGCCTCCAGTGGATCAACCGTACTTGTACCCTGGATGCACGTAATGCCCCGAAGGCACCATCATTAACTGTCCACTGTCATTTCAACCAATGCAACTATTGTTTGGCCTGTCATAAATTGCCCCCACCCCAAAAGATGTTTCTATGAATCCCACCGTCAAGCATTTTTCAGGGTATGGTTCTAGGACTGGTACCAATAAATGGAGCAAGTTTCATGAATGTGACACTTTTATTTTGTAAGATAGCAAGGGGAGGGCATATTGTGAGGGCCAGGCCTGTCATAAAATGCCCCCCCCCCCCCCCCCCAAAAAAAAAGAGGTTTCTATTAATCCCACCCTCAAGCATTTTTCAGGGTATGGTTCTAGGACTGGTACCAATAAATGGAGCAGGTTTCATGAATGTGACACTTTTATTTTGTACGCAGAGCGTACATATAATAATATGCTGATAAAGACTATGTAACATTTGTAAACATATATTTTGATTATTTGATGACAACTATGTCAAATTAAACAATACATTTTAAAGCACATTTATACAGATAGGAGGTAACAATAATGATAAAAAAAAAAGATTAAAAAAAACAAAAACTGAAAAGGAAGTGACGAATGAATTTCGACACCTCAAATACGGAGCGAAAAGTTAAACCAGAAGAATCAAGACTATGAGCTACCACTAAACAACTCAGTCTGAAAATTACCATTAATACAAACCCTGAACGTTTACTTTTCGTTTTAAACATCGTTTTAAGGTGTAAACGTGTCATTTAGAGGTGTAAACGTGTCATTTAGAAATGCGCGTTCCCGTGACAAGGGGGGCATTTCATGACGGGGAGGCATAATGTGACACAACACCGGCACGCCGGTTCCACGGGGTGGGCTGAAGCAAGCCCCCAGGAAGTGCGCCGGAGTCTGATGAGAATATTCGTGCTGGTCAAACGGCGGTACTACACTTCCTTTAGGTTGCTGGGCCCGGAAACACTTTTTCCCATTGACTTACATGGGGAAAGAGTGGTCTGTAACTCGTTGGATAATTTTTTTTAAACTAAATAAACTACCCAGTATGAACGTTTGTATAGCCCTTATTAAAAACATTCGTTCCTCAAGTTGTAAAAATGTGCTAATAACGTTATTCTGAGAGTTATTTCCCTCTGCATTATGAACGCGCATCTAACCCACGGGACCGCGCCGCCCAGCACGTTCATGTTACGTGTTCAGTACTACATGAGTTTCTCTTTACCCATGGATGCACAATAACAACGGACCATATCGCCTTACTGCCAGCCCACGGAGCTGTAATAATGGATATATTGCACGTGTTTGCTGTAATTCATCATTTGTAAAATATTATACTGGGCTGTATGATGTAAATCTTGTACCGTAAATGTTGTATTAAATAAAGTTAATATTACAGACGTTGATTAACGTTCCTGTAGCTTCTTATTGCACTTGCAATTGTTTTAGTTACTTGTGGGCTACTTAACATGAATAATCACAGTTACTATCCTTTTACTCCATCACATTTCAAAAATAAATAGGCTATTGTTATTTTAACTCCACCACAGTAATCCATCATCAGCTTTACTTTTTAGATAAAGTTTTAACTCACAATTGATCATAACAGGCTTCAACATATACATTTTTATATATTACCAAGTGGTTTCATGTACAACCCACACAAGTATCATGCTAAATGAAGCTCTGTTGCTTGGATATCACTAGATCCTGATGTCAGCGTAATATAAAAGTACATAACGATTGATGTGTAACTTAGCATAATTTACTAGCTAGCCGCTAGCTGCTAACTGCCGCCTCGTTAATATAAATCCAGTACCATGCTGTCATGAACGCGCGGTGCTGTTACGTGTACGCAAATTCACGTGCTTAATGTGAACGAGCCTTTTGGGCGCCGTGGTTAAAGTTGCGCATGCTCTATGAGTGCACATACAGGTACTTCTCAGGCATGCCGGGTAATCTGTGACGTTTCGCTCTCTCAAAAGTTGGGCCATTTTGTCATCATGCGCCATTGAGCAACTCTCATAGGAATGAATGAGGCCCCGCCTCCCACGCTGTATCCAGTTCTTATTATACATCCATGGGCTGAAGAGGTGGAGTCTCACCGCCGCGCTCCCTCGTCTGCAGAAAAGCCTGTGGAGGAGCGCACGCTGCGGTGACTCTTCTCTCTACTGAGGTCTTTGAACGCACCGCGGCCCGCTCTCAGGGGAGGAGGGCCCCGCGCGCCGTCACAATGCCGTCTCTTCGAAACGGACATTATGGGAAAAAGTGGAATTGTGGAGAGAGATTACTCTTACTCTGGGATAAATGCACTCGTTCTCACTGAATGCATTTTTACCACACACACACATCACTCTAGAACTAGAGTTTACAAACGTAAAACACCGTTCCCCTGCGGAGGTCCCTGAACGCACCGCGGCCACTCTCACGAGGGCCGCGCGCCCACGTATTAACGCTGTATTTCCCATTCAACGGTGAAATGCATTAATCGGAGCTATTATACCAGGCAAGGTGTGTTTTCTGACAACAGCACGCCGGCAATAGCGTCTCTTGAACCCGCACAGTGCTTTGACAGCACACGGTTTATTCCGCTCACGTGCACACGCCCACCTGCTGGCTCCCTATAGCCTACTGGGGTTTACAGCAGGGGCGGGGAGTGTAGGACAGTGTTTCTTCCTCTGGGGATGGGCAAGAATCAGCCAAACTGCGATTACTCCTTATCCCGTAAGCAAGGAGATCGATCCATAGAGCCCTTCCGTAAAGACGGGGGCTCCCAGGAGATCAACACAGTCCTCTTTGGAAAACTGCCATGCGACGTGATATCCCAGGGACATCACAAGGCAGGCAGCGGCGGCGGCCTGTGATGAAGTAGGGTCGACCCTATATCATGTGAAGCCACCGAGCACCGGTCCCCGGGGGAACCGGGCCTGGGGCAAGGCTCGTGGACCAAGCTACTTATTCGGCCTTGCGGCCCAATAATCGCTCTGACCTGGTGAGGCGGGGGCATCTCTAGCAATGAGCGAGTAGCCCACACACCCGCCGCCATGATCATCATCCAGGGAGAGTACAGCCCTGGGCGGTGGATTTCCATGGACGCCGGACTCGGAAGGAATGGCGAACGTGAAATGGCACCGCCTCGGCCATATCCTGGTTCCCCAAACACTCGAAGCAGAGGTGGTAGGGGTCGGCGCCCGCTATCTTTCTTTCTCTTTCTTCCTTTCTCTCAAAAAATACGTCTCGGACTCAGTGCTAGGCTATCACCTCCGCTCGCTGAAGAGTAAAGGATGGTGGTCAGGAGGCGAGGCCTACTTTTATACGGAAGTGCGATGCGCACGTATTCAGGTAGGCCCGCTTATGGATGTATAATAAGAACTGGATACAGCGTGGGAGGCGGGGCCTCATTCATTCCTATGAGATCTGCTCATTAGCGCATGATGATAAAATGGCCCAACTTTTGAGAGAGTGAAACGTCACAGATTACCCGGCATGCCTGAGAAGTACCGGTATGTGCACTCATAGAGCATGCGCAACTTTAACCAAAATGCTCGTTCACATCAAGCACGTCAATTTGCGTACACGTAACAGCACCGTGCGTTCATGACAGCATGGTAATGGATTTGATATTAACGAGGCGGCAGTTAGCAGCTAGCGGCTAGCTAGTAATTATGCTAATGTACACATCAATCGTTATGTACTTATATTATGCTGTAACAGGATCTAGTGATATCCAACAGAGCTTAATTTAGCATGAAATAATTATTGCACTGTATATATATATATATCTTATGACATCATAAAGTGGCCAAAATCTGATCAGCTCATTTTCAGACAGGTTTTTATATAAATGGATCAGGACAAAAAGTGAGTGAATCTTTTTTCCTGAAACTTTCAGAATCTCTTTACACAGTGGACACATGTTTATTTATAAAATACATGAAAACGTGGATTTTGCACAATAGGTGACCTTCAAACAAAAATAAAATCTGTGTATGATCATCAGTGCAAACATGTGTTCAAAGGTCTTTCTAGGTTTCAAAAATCTTAATTTTAAACAGCAAGTCCCAGTGTGTGTGTGTGTGTGTGTGTGTGGTAGTAGTGCATAACACTTTCTGAGTAATAACTAAGGATCAGTTATCTAGCAAATGCAGCGCATACTTTTTCAACGTACATTTTTAAAACCTCTATCTTCGTATGCTTGCGGTTGTTCTTTCATCACCCTATTCTGTGTTTTTCCTCTCTTTATCTGCTCTACTGTACATGTCCCTCTCTGCTCCATTTCTCTCTGTTATTAGGAGAGTGTTTGAATTAAGTGTTTGAATGAAGTAACTTTAGTAAAAGCAACGAGTAGAGTTAATGTTGAGAAATAATTGACTTAAAGGTAAAATGGGTACATTTATGAAATGATGCCTATGCAAACTTTTTGTCTGCCACTTCTGAAACCTATGTTCTGTAAAAGCTGAGTAAATGTTATCTTGCAGAGTAGATCAGTGGAATGCACATCTTAACACTTAATGCCATGACATGTGCATACACTCAGCCATATGATTGTTCATCTATACAAAACCATGGGCTATACAAGTGTGAAGTGGTGCAGAGAGGGAGAGAGGTGAAGAGAGTGTTGACGACAAGCAGGCAGAGAGAGTGGGATGATAGCCATTGAGAGAAAGAGAGAGGCAGGGAAGGGTGAGAAGGAAAGGAGAGACAGAGGTGAGACAGTGATGAAAAGGTGGTTGAAGAGAGACAGACTGACGACAGCAAATTGAGCAGCTGAAGAGGATAGTTAAATTCATAAACTGAAATGTGTTCTGAGGATCTGAAATCTGAAGCAGATGGCTTGCGTAATGGTAGAGTTCCTGTTTCAGCATCGCTCGCAAATGCGTCTATCCATACATGCTCATGTTATGTAACAAAGCTACTTGAGCGGTCTGTTCATAGTGTTTCCATTAAATTAGTAAGGCACCAATTTCTGTAAAGTATGCTCGATTACCTCTCAAACACACGCCACTGCTCTCATTGGTTGAGCTTAATTTAACAGACTGTGGATGGAACACAAGGATATTAAAACACATGGGAGCAGACTTCTAACAAATATTAATTTAACTCTATGATCTTTGCATATATTTAAATATAAACCTGGCACATACAGAACCGAAAGAAAGAAGCTCATGTTCCGTGAGAACAGAAGGCGTTCTTCTTATCAAAGCTGACATTTTAGCAAACCTTCCTCAGGGTGTGCGTTTTATGTCTGTGCAAGTGCTTCCTCCAGAGTTTTTATATCTCAACTTTTAATACTTCTAAGTGGGAAACACTGCCACCTCATACCATCTCATCATTTTTTCTGAAGAGGGCAGAGTGGTAATATCCCTATAATTTAAAACCCAAAAAATCTTTCCCCATGCTGCATTTCAATTCTACACACCCACTTCTCACCAACTTTCTGGAAACTCTTATCTTACTACATGATATTAGGCAACATCTGCAAGATGTTTCAGACACACGACTACCACAATCATTTGCATACTCTTCTTTCTGCAGGCATTCAGCACATCCTTTTGATCAGGTAGTATTTTAGCCGTCAGTACTCTGCTTGCTCTTTTGCTATCGTGCCTTTTTGCCACATGAAAGTACTGGAAACTCCAGAAACTACAGCAGGATGAATTGTTCAACTGCTTAAAATTACCAATATAACATGTTTCGGGAAAACAACCTCATAACATCTTTTGGGGACACAAAGTCTGAATTAACTATCTTTTAACCATGACCACAGTCTTTTGTAAAGGCTAACCCATAGTACTTGGCTTGGAAACCTGAGGACTCCCGGTTCAAGTCCACGGAAGGATTATGTATAGGGTATGCAGTGCACTAACACATGAAGAGGGTACCAGTTTGGCTCATTGGCATTACCAAGGTGCCCTTGAGTAAGGCACCGGACTCCAACACTGCTCAACAGGCTGTAAAGTAGCCTCTCACTGCTCCTTTGACAAGGATATGGTCTACGTTTCACTGTGTAAAATAAATAAATAAAAAGATGATATCATTCAAATCTTCCTTCTCCTTACCAACTAGTTGTAGTTGCCTTTGTCGAATAAAAGTGAACCCATAGGCAGACAAAACTCAAATAGTTATTGTACCGCCACTGTCAAACTACCCATTTTGCTATTAAATTGTGAGCACCCTCTGTTTCTAGCTAAGGTTTTGTAGGATGTTAAAGGCGTTCTTTGTGTGTGGCAAATGTGCAAATATCTGCATTCTACAAAAGAGAATTAGCATTTTCTGTTTAGCTCGCATGTGAATATGCATGTATGAGAGGAAGCTTGTGTTGTTGTGGTATGTGCTGTATGTGTGTTGTGGGAAATACTTTGCATCCAGCACTCTTTCTTCTGTGCACACTTTGAACACGGCTGCATACATACAAAGTAACATCATCACCAACTCCCTGCACACATCCCCTTCTACTTCTCTCCTCTGTGACCTAGTAAAACATCCCATAATCTCCCTCATTATTGCTATGCCGGTGGTGTCGTCACTTCCAAGGGCTCTTCCCCATCTCCCGACCTCTTGGGCAACCCTGAGGGTGACCTGGAGTTGAACCATCAACCCTTTTCCCATTAGGATCAATACTGAGATCTGAGCGGCCCCGCCAAGGCGCCTAAATCCCACTGAGCCAGCTCTGGCATACTGATGCGTGTGTGTACGCTGGGTGGTGAGGGGAGAGAGAAAGAGAGAGAGAGAGAGAGAGAGAGAGAGAGAGAGAGAGAGAGAGAGAGAGAGAATAGAGAACCGCCTATCCTTTTGAAACAAAGAAGAGGTAGATTCCTCTGGCAGAACCTGGGTGGGAGGGATGGGAGATGAAGTGGGTGTGCATATAACACATGTATGTCTGCATCAACCTTGTGGGGGGGTGGCGGGTGAGAGAGGGAGGTGACATTTGTTTAGTGAGGTGATTCTAAGGTCAGACTTTGAAGCTTTTGTAGGATTTTCTTTTTTAGTTTTGGTACTTTTCTCATGTTTCCCTTGGCAAGACCAAGGACAGACTGATAATTGGTGCTGCTCTCTTTCAGTTATATGTGACAGTTTGTGAATTCAAAATGTTCAGTAAACAGTAAAGTTAGGGTTGTAGTGCAGACAAATATAGTAATTTTACTTAAAAAAGAGTCCAAGGACATTTACAGCTAACACTTTAAAGCAGGGGTCCCCAAACTTTTTCCTGTGAGGGCCACATAACTTTTCCCTTCTCTGATGGGGGCCGGGTCAGTTTGTAACAGAAAAAGTGTGACGATCGCATGGGTGTCTAAACGTAAACATTTATTGTTTTCTAGAAAGCCACACATAACCAAATATTAATAACCCTTTCCGGGATCTTCACAGAAAAAAAGTCAGGAAATAAATAATAACACTATTGTAACGTTCCCAAGATGAGTCGGAGACAGGCTTGTAGTTATTAGGCTTTAATAACTAGTATTTTTAATAACTAGTATTTGAAGACAGATGATAACAGGTCAAGTACACTTCGTGGATTCTACCGCACACTCCACTCATCTAACTTCTACACATACCCATATATATAGCACCGTCTACGTCACAACTCCCCGCCCTCCCCCGTCCGCTCCACCAACCACAGGCCCGCACCTCAGCCACCATCACGGTGCAGCTCTATGATTGGCAGAGAGACGGGGGATGCCTAAGTGACACCCTGAGTAGCCTATCAGGATCGCTACACTACCCCCCCACTACAAAGTTCCTCGCCCACGAGGAACAAATAAAACTCAGCACAAACACTACCCCCATCCTCTCCAGTACTCTGCAGGGACCAACCCACTGACTGTCCAGTTTTGGGCACCGGCCTTTCTTCCGTTGTGGGCTGTAGACCCAGACCAGCTCCCCGGCCCGGAAATGCTGCCCTCTTGTCCTGGTGTCATAGTTCCGCTTCTGTCCACCTCGTCCAGTCTCAGCTCCATCTCCTTCCGTTCGCCTCCGAGTCTGAACCTCACAGAGTCCAGGGTCTGCTCCACCTCTGCCTTTATCGAGGCCTCTCTGTGTTGGGCGTTCTGCTCCATGATACTCCTCTCCGCTATAGCTACGCTTGCCTGCTTCTGGGACTCATCCAGCTGAGGTTTACAGGTATCCAACTCTGCTTCTGTCCTTTTCAGGTCTTCTAGAGTTTTCAAAATCTCCAGTTGGGATTGTCCTAGCTTATTCTGGAGCTCATTGTAACCTTGCTGCAGCGCCTTAGCGTCTCTACCCATCTCGCTGATCCTCTCCTGGTACTTGATGCAGTCCCTCTGCAGCTGCTTCTCCCTCAGCAGTAGTGCTGGGGGGAAACGATTATTTTGAAAACGATTAATCGGGTGATTATTTGATCGATTAGTCGACTAATCTAACGATTATTTTTCTGTTGTTCAATTCATAAAAAACTTAATGTAAAAAAAACGTAATGTAAACAAATATTTTTTCACGATACTGTGTTTTAGGGGATCTTAATATTTAAGAACCTATTAATGTGTTATACCAGATTAACGGAAATAATCTCAGCTAACTGACGATACAAACCATGTTTACCAAAACAAAACACAAGTCTCATAAGAAGCATCTAAATGACCCCTGAGCGAAAAACATTGGCACATAACTCAAGATAAAAGTACCCTTATTACTTATCGTAGCTGCACATACAAGATATCCGATTAAAGCTGAGACTCCACAGATTATGTAGGTATATAGTATCATCACTGAGTGATCCGGACTCGCGACAGGGGAAGCAAATACAGTCATCACAACACGTACCTTCACAGAGCTTCTAGGGAGATCGTCTCACCGCCGTAGCTGTCAATCTGATCAAAAGACGTGTTCAATGGCATTAAAATGAGAAAAAACGCGGCTGAATCGGTTAATCCATAGGTTTTTAACGTCTATGTATAAAAAAATGATTGAATTTATAATCCATAATTCCATTTTTATGTAAAAATGGGAGAGCAAATGCCAGCTGCTAATGGTAGCCACCACAGCTAGCTGCTGCTTCCGGTCTAGGCCATGCAGCAGTCTCAGTGAGATATAAATATATTTGCGTTTTGGACTAACTTTAAAATATTCCCATGCTTTTGAAGACCTAGGGCGAGATGTTTTCGTTTGGGGGCTTCGTGCGCAATCCTGTGAGGAGGAGGTGGTAGCCGTTTCAGTCTCCATTGTGTTTGAAGTGCGATTGCGAACTGCTTGTTGCTTTGGGTGACCCACGTGTGTGTAGCGACGCGTCGACGCGGAAATATGTCGTCGACGATATTTTGAAGTCGACGCGTCGATACAGCACTACTCAGCAGCTCCTCCTGCTTACCAGACTCTGCTTCTGCTCTCTCTCTCTGTGCTTGCCTCATGTCCTCCTCCAGCCTGGCGGCCCGGTCGCTCTCGCTCTGCGCCTCAGCCTCCAACTCGGCCCGCTCCCTCGCCAACCGCTCCACCTCCCGCTGCAGCTCGGCCAAGTGCTCCCGGTTGTCCGCCACCTCCTGCTGGTAGTCTGCGATGCTGCCATTGAGCTGGGACAGCTGGTTCGTCAGACGCTCCTCCAGGTTGTCCTTCTCGGCTTCCAGGCTCCTGAGCAGCTCTTTGAACTGTGCCTCCCTCTTGGCACCCTCCTCCACCAGGCTCCTTTCTCTCTCTTTGCCCTCTTGGAGGCACTTCTCCAGAGAGGCCACAAGGCTCTCCTTCTCTTTACTCTCCTGGAGATCTCGCTCAAGAGAGGCCAGCTCCGCTTTGAGTCTAGCCTCCTGTTGCTGCCGCAGTTCCCTCTCTGCATTAACAGCTGCTTCCATCTCCCTCATTTTCTCTTCTAATAAAACTTGAACACTTTCAGTCATTTCGGTAACCCATACAGGCTTCTCCTCCTCTCTGCAGCTCCTCACAGCCGGTGGTACCGGCCCTCCGTTGCTCCTCGCCGCTACACTCCACACAATCTCTCTCTCTACAGCCATCTCCAAGGCCGCCTGCAAGGACTGTGGATGCTGCAGCTGTACCCCAACCCTCAAGTCCGCAGGGAGGAGAGCCCTGATGAATTGATCACGTGCCAGCTCACTCTGCACTCCGGGTGGCATGTGTGCATATGCCCGCCGCGTCAGGCTCTCCACGTCGTTAGCCAACGCACGCAGCGTCTCTCCAGACTTCCTACAGCGGTTACTCAATTCGTTCCGGAGTAGCTCTGGCGGGAAACACTGTCCAAACCGCCTCTTCAAAGCCCCTGCTAACGCTTCATAGCTGTGTCGGTCCTCAAGGCTAAGTAGTAGCAGACATGAAAGAGCCTCTTCTGTGAGGCACAAAGCTAGCTGTAGTGCTTTAGTCTCTACTGACCACCCCCCGGCATGAGCAAGCAGTTCAAATTGGGCATGGAAAGCCTCCCAGTCTGCCTTACCCGAGAATTTGGGTGTTTTCACTGACCCGGCGGCGGCTGCTGCGGGTTGATGGGCGCCGCCATTGTTGTTTACCTCCAGCTTGGAAATGGCGCGAACTGCCGCAGAAGACGGAGACATTCCCGCGTCTCTAGCCATCCTCACCGCCGACTCTCTCAGCCGCTCTCTCACCTCCCTCATGAACTCCTCTCTCATGTCCTTCGACCACCCGCATGCTCCATCTTCCTCTTCATCACTACTGTGTTCCTGCTTCACTCCCATCTTGCTGAACTTATTCATCCCCGCTAGCTTCCCGGCTAGCTCCGTGACGCAGTTACGACTCTCGTCCGGATAGACGTCCCTTGTTCGAAAAGTTCACTTCTGACACCAATGTAACGTTCCCAAGATGAGTCGGAGACAGGCTTGTAGTTATTAGGCTTTAATAACTAGTATTTGAAGACAGATGATAACAGGTCAAGTACACTTCGTGGGTTCTACCGCACACTCCACTCATCTAACTTCTACAAATACCCATATATATAGCACCGTCTACGTCACAACTCCCCGCCCTCCCCCGTCCGCTCCACCAACCACAGGCCCGCACCTCAGCATGCCTCAGTGACACCCTGAGTAGCCTATCAGGATCGCTACACTATTAATGAAATAAATAACACTATTTATGAAATAAATAATAACCAAATAACCCTCTCTGGGTTCTTCACAGAAAAAAAGTCCATTGAAAATTACTGTAACTTTCTGTTGTGCCGTGCACACTCTTAACAGGTAAAAGTTTAGCTTAGTTGTCAGAGCAGAATCTCTCAAAATAAACGTGGATTTACGTAAAAAAAAAAAATTTTTTCGGGGTTCGGGTGTTTTGTTTGATTTTAAACAAACAAAGTCTTGGCTTTCAGAATATGAAACTTTTATTTCCAATTTATTTATTTCTCACTCGCAATCTGCTCTTCCGCAGCGCCGCTCCCCCCTCACTCCGCTGAAATTATGAATGTAAGAGTATAGTAATCATAGATAACACTGCAGGGTCCGTTACAGTTTGTTTTCATCTGATTTCAATTAAACAAAGTCTTGGCTTTCAGAATATTAAACTTGTTTCGGCAAATTCAGATGATAAATACAACTTTGAAGCTTCGGCATAATTACAAGCGGAGAACGGCAGGCATAACAACAGCCGGTGTTTCTCGTGAGTGTTTTCCCCGGGAAACAAACACAATACACACAAACGCAAAATCACACAAGCACACACACTCACACGTATACACACACACTCGCGAGCTTCCCCTCCAAACGAAAATATCTTCCCTCGGTAGTATTTTTGATCATTTGCTCCGCTAATAATCAATCAGATCGATGGATTCCAGAGAAGAGACAACTTTGAAGGCCTTTTTCTCAAAATGATGACTCGGTGACAGTCATTATATAATGTGACATATTTCGCTTAATATTTGAAGTACAAAAACAATCCTGATATCATTAGAAAGCTAGGAATATCCTCTTTCCAACAGTGTATACAACTCAAAAGGTGTCTTCGGGTCAATGCGACTGATTTCGATAGAGCAGGTCACAATATTTTGACAGGGGCTAGTCTAGGATTCGCGTGGCCAGACTGAAAAAAAATAATAATAATAAATAAAAAATTTTAAAAAATCATAATGCCTCTCTGGTATTGTTCAGGGGGCCGGGCCAAATGTGGAGGCGGGCCGTACCCGGCCCGCGGGCCTTAGTTTGGGGATCACTGCTTTAAAGTCTAACAGTGCCAAGAGTTGAACAAAGACCAGACAGATAACTGAAAGAAAATACAACTAAAAATCACTTCTGATATATCTGTTAGTAGCCACCAGCTAAACATTTGCCAAAAATCATGTACGACTAAATCCCAATATAGGGAGAGTCTTCCGAGAGTTATTGACCGCAGAATGTGAGAACATGTGACAATAAAAATGACATTCATACCTGCCTCAAGTACCGCAAGGATCCATTCTGCAGAAAGTTCAGTGTTTTTGTGGCTTGTCCATTTCTGGGAAGACACAGTAAAGCTGTTTCATATGAGTCTCCTCGCTTCAGTAAACAGGTTCATTTTAGTTTATGTGAAGTTTTATTAGACACTTGCAGTAAAAACAGGGTGATTTGTGGAAAAACGCAAGTAACTATTGATTACTTCTGTTTTAAAGTCAAAGCACAACCACCCGTCACTTGTCTCCTATATTTCTAAGTCTTTGTTGCAATACAGAGCATGTCCTATTCAACAACAAATTGTTATTTTTAAATCGTAAATAAATGTCGCTTTCCACTTTTCTTGGTCAGTTTTCAAAGTGTAACATGTGCCTGTTGTCTGGATCTTTTTTTACATATACAGTAGTACAAACGGTTATTAAATAGAAAACAATATAGCACCTAACTGTCTGTGCGGCACATCAGTGTTGTGCATGTCATAGAGTTATGTTAAATTGTATTGTCCCATAAAATCAAATAAGTTAAAATATTTCACACAAACTCTACACTGTATTGCTTTTATTTTACCTCCCTCCTCACCTCTCCCCATCTCTGTTCTGTTTGTGTCTCTGCAGTTTAGTCCGTGCAACATGAACAGGGCACCTTCAATGTGACGCTCAACAACCCTCTGGGCCCTTGCTGCTCCCCCTCATGTGGCCCTTGGACCTTTAAGGACCTTCAAGACCATTAACACTGTAGCCCCCAACACCTTTAATGCCACCAATACTTCATAAAGCTCTTTGTGTGTAAAATATAGGGGGTGAAAGGTGAGTGGGGTATAAGGTCAATCTTAGGGTCATCATGTTTCAATTCATATTCTGAAGATAGCTGATTTCCATGAATATTTATGGTTCTACCCATTTCTGTTGAATGTCTAATGGATAATGAGTGAGCTTATTTTCAATAATTCAATTGTGACTTTATTAAGCTTATAAATTAAATAAACATAATTGTGGAGCGTTCTTGATATTGCAGTAGTAAGATGTATTGTAATTAAGATTAAATGTTAGGGAGTTTTTTATTTGTATGTTTTTAACCATAATGGCAAACATCACTGAAGCATTTCGTGTGTGTGTGTGTGTGTGTGTGTGTGTGTGTGTGTGTGTGTGTGTGTGTGTGTGTGTGTGTGTGTGTGTGTGTGTGTGTGTGTGTGTGTGTGTGGGTGGGTGGGTGTGTGTGTGTGTGTGTGTGTGCGTGCCTGTCTGTCTATGTGTATGTGTGTGTGTGTGTGGGTGGGTGGGTGTGTGTGTGGGTGGGTGCGTGCCTGTCTGTCTGTATATGTGTATGTGTATGTGTGTGTGTGTTCGTTGATGCGTGCATGTGTGTGCAGGCCCAAACGTTGGGCTATCAAATAGAAACAGACAGTAGATCCCTAGAGCTGTTGTTTCATTAATAATATTCAGCAAGTGATTGAAATTACCCTCACAGTTAATTTCATAGTTGATTTACAAATTAGAGCAGAGTAACTTGTGACTTTTTCAAACCTACATTTATTACAGCAAACTTCTTAGAGGGAAACTTTTTCTTCTGTTGGTGTTTCAGGCAGCAATTTGAAGCAAGATGACAGTCTCAATTACAAATCTATTGGCATGAAAAAAATGCTATCAGAATTAGCAAAAGATCCGTAGCTATACATTATTGCTTAGCATGCATAAATGATTAAACCATTCATTATGTATTTCTGCTGACTACCAGAGAAACATGTGTGAAAGTAATATTGAAAACTAAAATTATAATGATGTTCCAGTTTTGCACAGTAATCAACTTAGCCTCACCTTCATTTTTAAACACACACACACACACACACACACACACACACACACACACACACACACACACACACGCACACACACACACACACACACACACACACACACACACACACACACACACACACACACACACACACACACATACACTATAAATTACTTACTGGGAAGAACAATCAAACCAAACAAAGCAACTGCATGTGAAAGTATAACCTGCTCTTATAACGTTACATTTCTTTGGTACATTTCCAGAGCCTTCAGCTCCGAGACTACTTCAGTCAGATCATCTGTCGTTCAAGACTTCTCACCGCTTTGTAAAGAATCAAATCACTAATTAAAACCGTACTTATCAGAAAAATAAACACCAGAACAATCATTGCAAAAAACTAATTTGGGAAGTATTTATTATATGTGTACTTTGACTTTTTAGTGTAGCCCATGTCCCATCTATAAAGGGACAGGATATATGTCGTAAACAGAAGCCAGCTGACAGGACCATACAGATATTTTGGCTTACATTTTTAGGAACTGTCAAGCCGTTTATCTCTATATGTAGTCTATCGCTCAAACCTTTGGAAATAAGCTTTTTTTTTAATTTATTGCAGATAGATAGAAGTACAAATCTATACAACATATCTTATATCTCATATAGCTGTAATATGAGGCTTCAGCAAGCAGCCAACTGGGATAGGA